TCGATTTGCACACGACCCAACTTTCGGAAACGTTCAAACTTCCGACACGCTCCAGCGCAACCAAAAAAAGGGAAAGCTAGTCGAGGCTACGAGCCGGCCACAATACATAAGTCGTAACTCACACTTTTCTCTTCTTATTCAAAAGATACAAACATAAAACGCGTCCGCACTCGTTCCCTACTTGTTCCGCTCTGATTCTTTCAATGGCCCGTTTAGATCAGTGGCGGCAGATCATTCCTCCAAACTCCACCAATCGTACAATACACAAGTCGTAACTCACACTTTTCTCTTCTTATTCAAAAGATACAAACATAAAACGCGTTCCCTACTTGTTCCGCTCTGATTCTTTCAACAGCCCGTTTAGATCAGTGGCAGATCATTAGCCTCCTAAGCTAGGGGTCGACAGTTCGATCCTGTCATCGGGCTCTTCTTTTTTTTTTCACACTCTCTTTTTTTGCCCGTTAGAGGGCCCCAGCTTGGTCGTTCTTTCTTTTTTTGTCTTCTTCGAATCGAAATCCTTTTAGTTTTGATGAGAAATAGTTTAGATTCTGTCGTTGAAAGTATGCGTTGAGTAAGTAAATGCGACTGTGGGCGGACTCGTAGCCTTTGGGTTGTGTTTGATGGGGAGTGATTTTGCGAAAGTGTTGCCAACGGTCTGGTTTGAGTGGTAGAGCGGCGGAGTTCAATATAGACCAATGTTCACCCGCAGGTTTCTCACACACCACATTCTCCCGAAAACGATCCTCTCGTCTCCTGTCGCCTCGCATCGTACACCAATCTCAACGCAGCTATTTGCCAGCAATGAATGCCCAGCCCTCGCAGTCAATCATACAGCCTGGGACGAATCTGACTGCCGACAGTATCAGCCACATTCATGGCCCTCAAGAGCCGGCCGTCGAGCCGGCAGTTCCCGGAAATCAGCCCGCTATGCCCGCGCCAGCTGCTCTCGGGACACCGTTTCCTCATGTCAATCCTGCGCGAATCGCCTCCAGTCTAGCATGGCTTGTCGGCCTCATTGAACTTGACGCAACTACAAGATATCTACATCGCGAACAATTTGAGGAAGATGGAGACAAGAATGCACATTATTGGCCGCATGCTGTTGATGCTCGGTACCCAGTCTGCGCAAAGTGTGGCAACGGACACCCTCACAGGCGACTTAGAGCTTTCGGTACCGCAATAAGACTACCCGCGTGCAAGCCGATGGACGCTCCATCATCCACCCCAGTGGCCACTATGCGCGGACAGGTCTGTGGTCAGTTTCCCATGGAGCGCTACATTGGCAGAATCGGCAAGCATATCCGAAGTGGTCGGTTTCCGTATGAGAACCTTGTCAATGAAATGGAACATCGCAACCAGGCCCGCCACCTACGTTTCATCAGCCCCGCGTACAAGCAAGAGCGAGTCCGGCCCAGAATGTGAGAGCCCGATTGCACTGAGGCAGGAACGGAAGAGGAGGAGCCAACAGCGTTGGGAAGACGATTAGTGTTTATTTTAGATAGAGGCTCATATATTCATATTCCATCAAAATATTGTTATAGCCGCACTCAAAATAATCGCTTTGCTGTTCCCTTGCTTTTAAAAAGATAAGAAGCTCCCGTCAAAGTCCACGTTCATGCGTGCATGAGAGATGTCCTTCCCCGTCAGGCCAAGTTTTCTTGGCGTTCCAATAGATATGGGTACCCTCTTGAGATGATACTGAGGGGGGATAGGCATTGCACAGCGACTAAGGCATTGTTTGTAAGAGTCCGGATTGACTCTTGGCCTTCCAGTCAGACGCACCGTGATTTGCACCACCACCACTCAAACCCCCTTTCTTGTCGGGCATTCTTTATAGGGATGATGCTCCGCACGCACCGTGATTTGCACCACCACTCAAGCCACCTCTCTTGTCGGGCCCAGATGGGACCTTGAGGGCTGTATGGCACGCACGGCGACTTGGTGCGACATCACTGGAAACTTTGCGCACTCCTTACTACCCTAGTCTTAGGGTTCTCCATCCTCAGTTACGCTCCCTAACAAAGAGTAGGGCATATATTGATCAAGACATACACCGTTGTGATAAAAGCCCGAACGAATTGAATCTCATAATGGCGTCCACACAGCTCTCTTTCTTCTCGGATCCCAAATGCACAATCCCGATACCACCTCCCATGAGTCTCAAGTACGATTGCGATACCATATCTAATGCGACCTATGCGATCTACAACGACGGAAACGCCTACCCCTTTATTTCAACGGGTTGTCTGAACCCTAGCGTCAAGTTTGTCGGATGCACCAATGTCACCAACAAGGCTTTCTCGTACAAGGACGCTTTCCGTGTGGGCCCCGTGAATGGCACAACTAGTTCTGCTGCTGCGTTGAGCGTTTCAACTAGCAAGAATCGTACGGTCTTGATGGTGGTTGGCATCTTGATCTCACTTTCTTCTTTCATCTTTAAATGAACTGTCGGGAATGTATGTAGTTATTAATATACATTATTGAAAGGTAGATAGTTTTCTCGTTTCCAACGTTTCTTTACAATGCAGAGTTGAAGGGACATCTGCAACTTAATGTCACTCACTCACTCTACATAGTCCTTGGAATCCATTACACTAATTGATGGAGACATGTACATATTACTTCCTCGGCTCAGCTAGAAAATTGAGTTGAGATCCGCTTTGTGCACACTCAAAAATACAAACGGTTCTTTTTTGATGTGCAAATCAAAACAGATCAAAATTTGGGATAGTGATCAACAATTATCAAACAACGTGTTGAAGGGAGGGTTGATTGCCGCACGATTGTTGAACTCGTGTACAAACAAATGGTATACACTTTCCAATGGAGTGGTACTTCAAAATCCAATCCAACTGGATTTGCCGCCTGCAAGCACGAACTTTGTTGAAGTCACATTTGAAACAATAACTAAATAGGAGAACTCTGCAGATAGTTGATATGTGCAATTCGATGCTGCTGCTGGTGGTGGTAATGAGGAAACCTTCACAGCAGTTAGAATATGTCAAACTCGTTCATCTCGTGTCTCCTGATGGTTC